TATTTTTTTTTTTTTTTTTTTTTTTTTTTTTTTTGTATACCTGAATTTTAAAATTATTTTTAATTAATACACTTTAAAAATTGTAGTGTATCATTAACATGTGCAATGCAATAACAAAAGGTTCTATAAATTTTTAGGAAACTACTAAAAAACTTGCAATTTATTTGGAATAATATAAAAATTTATTTTTATTTTGTATATTATTCCAGATTATTTATTATTTGTTAAAAATAAAAGAAATTATATTTTTAAGTAATTAACAAAATATATTTACTTTTTGGAATTTTTACTATAACAAAAAAGACTAGGTATAAGAAGCTCTTAATGAATGCAAGATTTTCATAAATATATATATACATAGAAACTCATATATAAGTTTTTATACAAACATATGTTTAAAAAGATTTGTATAAAGATTCGTATACAAGGATGTGTAATTAGTATGAATAATAAATGTATTTGTAAATGTATATAAAAGTGTATAAAAAAATTTTTTTTTTTTTATCATTTATGGATAAACAAAAAATAGGAATCCTTATTATACATATAATTTTTTTAGTAGTGTAATTAAGTTTTTAAGAACATATAATAATTACAATAAAAATATAAAAAGTGTAATTAACAATCTAATATAAATTAAAATTATTTACTTTATATTATATAACATAATAATATTAAGAATATGTAATTATTCGTAATTATTGCTTTTATAATAAATAAAATAAATGAATGTTATTCTTCTTACTATTTATTATCATGAATGTTTCAATAATCATATAAGTACCTGAATAGCCAGTTAATAAATCTAGGACATTCTTTTTCCTTTATTATGTTCTTTTAGAATTTTTCCTTTAATATAATTCGTTTTATATCTATATATTATAATCAATTTTTACGGTTAGATTACTTGAGTTTTTAATAAATTTATATTTTAGTTTTATTTTATGAATATATATTACTAATTAAGTAAAATCTAATTAAAATTATTACCGAAAGAATATTGTTGTTCACACATATAAATTTACCAAAAAATATAATTATTTTGTAATTAAATTTCTACAAAAAGAGCAATTTATTAATTGCTTATTCAAAAACTTTCCTAGAGTATTAAACAAGCATGCTGAAAAATATCATGTAGAATTGTTTCTACTAATTTAATTGGTATAAGTATTATATTGATTTTACAAATAAGAAAACTTTATATTTATAGTTTACATAATTCAACATTTATTTTTTTCAGTAGACATTTATTTACGTTAATATAAATCTTTTATTTTTATTGAAAACATAAATCCTCATTAATTATTGATTTTTAAGTACAAAATCTTCTAATTATAATTTTATGAATAATATTTATCATTTTAATTTTAATAACTTCAAATTAATAAAAACAATTAAAAATTAAAGCACAAATTATGTTAACTTCTTCTTAAGAGCAAAAATTTTATCCTCAAAAATATAAAATATTTATATTATCAAAAATCTCAACCTAAAAAATAATTTCTCAAAAAAAATAAAAATTTTTAAAATTTTTTCTTTTTTTAAAGAAGCGAATGAACATATATAATTTTATATTTTTCATGTAATCATTAATTATTATTCCAAAAAGGTTAATGATCCTTTTGTTAATCAAAGAGTTAATGAATAGGAAATACTTAAACAAAAAATGAAAACATTAATACATGTACTAGTATAAATTAAAAAAAAAATATTCTTTTCAACAAGCATGGAAATTTATTGTTTTAATATACTTCTTTTGCCATATATATTAAAAATAAAATAAAACACATTAAAAAAAATGTACGCCTTATTAATAATGTAGTATAAATTGATATTAATAACAATATTAAAAAAAATAAAAATAATTCATTAGTTCATGAAAATATTATTTGTAATTTTATTTTCATTTATATGTTTGTATATTAATAAATGAGATATTATATTCTTAAATTATAATAAATACTTAATGTCTTTATATTTAAAAATCTTTTTTATATATATTCATTTAAATATGATTGAATCCATAATATTAATCGATTTATAATCATACTTGTTTTTTTTTCTTTTATATTTGATAATGTATTCATCCGTAATTTGTAAAAAAATTACATACTCTTTGATCTTCTAAGTTTAAAAACTTCTGGTTTTGAAAGTGATCCTAATTCTTCATTTGATTTTGATACTTTTGTTAATGTTGATAATGGTTTTTCTGTTTCTTCTGATAGAAATGTCTCATTTGATGAGGACAACGATGTTTCTTCTAATATTTGTCCTGATTCTTCACTTGGTGTTGATATTTGTTCTGATTCTTCACTTGGTGTTAATATTTGTTCTGATTCTTCACTTGGTGTTAATGTTGATTCTGCTCTTTCATATATTCTTGGTCCATATGTGTCTGCTGGTGTTGATTCAACTGTAGTGAATTTTGGTGCTCTTAATATTAGCTGTGTAGACGGACGTGATGAGATCATTATTGGAGTTTCTTGACATGTTGAAGTATTTATTGATCCTTGTTTTATTTCTGATACATTACCTGATATCATTTCTGGTATTTCTTTATATATAGTTCCTGTCAATTCATGTGGCATTTCACCTGGTGTAAAATTCTGTGTGCTTTCCATCATGTCATAAGATATTCCATCTTCCATGGATCCTTGAACCATTCCCGTCATTCCATAAGACATTTCATTTTGCCCGAAACTAGGTACCGTAATTGTCATGATACCTGGCAATTCTATTGATATGAAACCTGGCATTCTACCTGGTATTGTTCCTGACATAGCATCTGACATTGTTACTGACATAGCACCTGGTATTGTCCCTGACATAGCACCTGGTATTGTTCCTGACATAGCACCTGGTATTGTTCCTGACATAGCACCTGGTATTGTTCCTGACATAGCATCTGGTATTGTTCCTGACATAGCATCTGATATTGCTCCTGACATAGCACCTGGTATTGTTCCTGACATAGCATCTGGTATTGTTCCTGACATAGCACCTGGTATTGTTCCTGACATAGCATCTGATATTGCTCCTGACATAGCACCTGGTAGTGTTCCTGACATAGCATCTGAAATTGCTCCTGACATAGCACCTGGTATTGAACCTGTTATCATTCCAGGTATTCCTCCAAATAAGGTACCAGATATCACTTCCTGTGTTATATCCTGCATTATTACCCCTGGTTTCATTTCTGATGTGCATCCTGGAATTTCTCCTTGTATTTCACTTTGTATTCTTGTGTGCCTTTTTTTTGGTTTTGCTCCTAATATTTCATATGGAATTGAATCTTGTATTTCTACTGGAACAGTTCCCTGTATATTTCTTGGAAATGTTTCTGATTTTTCTGTTGATAATTTCTTTGGTTCTTCTCTTGAAATTTCTTCTGATATTGCTTTTTTCTCTTCTTTAAATGTGCATAACGATATTTTTTCCATTATTTTATTGGTTATTAGTCTTGAAATCTTTCTTATAGTGGTTTCTATTATTTGCTCATCTGCTTTTCCTTGTGAATGCTTTATTATTTCTTCCGTAGCTTGCCCTATCATATGTTCTGATACACTATCCATAAAGTTGCACGCTATTTTATCTGTTATTTGATCTATAGAAGGTGGTTTTCTTCGTTCTACATCCTTCTGTGTACTTATTGATGCTGTTTTTTCAACTAATTCTTCAGTTTGTGCTGGAATTTTTTCTTCTATTTCATCTTGCATTTCATCTTTTGTCATTTCTATTTTTTCTCCTATTACATTTTTAGTTTCTTTTTTTGTTTGTTTTTTTAATTTATTTTGTATTCTTCCTAATATAAGATTGTATTCATTTTCTTTCACTTCTTTTATTCCTTCTTCTTTAATATTCATCATCACTTTTTCTCTAAGTTCATCTATTGCTTTCACTAATGTTTGTTCTTCTATTTGTTTTTCCGTTTTTTCTTCTAGATTCTCAGCCATATGTTCCAATGATTGTTCTTTCTTATGTTCACTATTATCAGATAATGTTAGTTCTTCCACTTTCCCTCTCATATGTTCTAGATTTTGCCTTTGAATTTGTTCTTCTTTTTTTTTTTCTTCTAGTTTTTTCGACTCATCAATTGGAAAATCTTTTCCGTTTCCTTCTGAAATATTTACGTCTTCTAAGTTTTGTAATAATCTTACTTCCCCTAATGATAAATCTCCTCTTCTTTCTTTCCTGTGTTTTTCATTATTAAATTGTAACCAATCTCTATTTACTTTCCTTAAATAATTATCAAAAAAATTATAATAAAAAAATCTTTCACTTTTCCAATTTGAATTATGACTGCTAAAATAGTTTATACAACTATTAAGAGGAATTATTCCTCTTAATTCTTCAATGAATAATCCAACGAAATATCTTCTATTTAGCATATAATAATATTTCATTATATTATACCATTCAATCCATGCACGCTCCTTGTAGACATTATCCATATTTTCAAGTATAGAACTATTAAACCTAAATTTCATTTCATTTAGCATCATACACCACCTGCTACGATTTATTTCCTCCATATATTCTTTTTGAATAATACACTTATACTTCCATTCCTTCTCCCACAATTGCATTATGTTTGATGTTTCTATATATCTCTTTTCTAATTCAAAAGTAACAAGAGTTAATATATAACCTAAAAGATCCAAAGTACAATTTCCAGTAATTGATAATATATAATCCTTAATATAGCGTGCTAAACCTACTAAATCTTGTAATTTACTTGCTTTCTCCTCTTCATCAAATTCATCAAATACTTCTAAGACATGTTTTTTTATCATATCAGAAATTGATTCTAGATCTTCAAAGATTTCATAAGAATAACGATTTAATGACTCAGGAAAATTGCCATACCTACGTACCGATAATTCTAATGAATGTTCTAATAAATAAATTTAAAAATAAAATTTTTATTATATTTTATTTAAAAAAAAAAAAAAACATAGTAAAAACTAATAATATTATTTATAACTGAAAATATTTTAAAAATATATAATTTACACCCAAAAAAAAAGAAAATAATTTCTATCTTTCTAATAAAAACATGTTTAATAAAATAATTTACAATTTTTAACACTAAAAATTAATTTTCATAAAATTCTCATTTATTTTTCTTTTGTATATTTTTTTCACCAGGTTTACCTCGCTCCGCCGATTCAATAGAATTTGTTTTAAACAAATTATATAATAATAAAAATCTAAAGAAATGAAAGATCTTTGAAGCTTTCATTTTAATATTTTTAGTAAATAAAGGTGAAATTAAAATTTTCCTACAATCTTACCTACTTTTTAGGGTAGTAATATATATGCAAAGATGTAATATTGTATTTTAATGGAAAATTTAAAGCAAATTGTAGAAGTAATTCTTTGAATTATTTATGCAAAAAAGAATTCTATAATTTTTTTTATCAAATAAAAAATAAAAAATATTATAAATGTATTTTTTTTTTTTTATGATGTTTCTTTCAATAGAACTAAAATAATTAAACAATATTGTACCTCAATTTTTTAATCTTATGGTTGAAACAAAAAAAAAATGATTGTGAATATAAGCATACTAATACAAAAAATTCCTTATTATATTATAATATAAATGAGGTCCTATATTTCAAAGAAATATCTTACTATAATTATAAACAAAATTTCTATTGCTAAAGAACAATAAAAAAAAAAAAACTTTTTGTACTAGTAATATAAGCAATTTTATTATTCTACTAAAATGGGCTTTATGATAATATATTCATACTATTTTTATTTATTAATTATAAATTTTTTATTATTCGCAATATGTTATTCCATATTGTTTTATATATATTTTATTAATTATATATATGTTGTATATTTGCAATGCAAACTAATGTTTATGACTTTTTTAGTTATAAAAAAAAAAAAAGAATACTGATTTCAAAAAAATTAAAATTCATCTCTCCTAGAAATAAGATAAGAATTAAATTCTTTTGATATGATGTTTTAAAACACTTTTTAATAATTTTATAATAAAATACTTTCCTTGTGATGATTATTTTTTTTTTTTTTTTTTAAGAACCATATTTCTTAAGATTAAAATAAATATTATGTTTTAAAAATATTTATAGATTGATAAAAAAAAAAAAAATACGTGATTATACCTGTATTATACATTATTTTTTTTTAATGTTTTGTAATATAGTAATTATATAGAACAAAAGAAATTTAATTTTTTCCTATCTTATATTAAAAAAATTTCTTTTTAATATATTCAATTCGTTTAACAAATTCATATATTCAACCTATAGTTATGATATATAAGATATGTAGTTGGTAGCTGTATAACCAATTTTTTATATTTGTTTGAATTGTATTTTTTTTTTTTAGATACATATTTAGTGTTGCATGCAAATGTTAATTTTAATATTCATATGATTGAGAACACTATTTTCTTTTAAAATTTTAATTTTTCTTTTTTATATTAGATTTTTTCAAATTATATATCTTTCACAATTGTGTATTATGATTAAGTCTAAAATATCTCTCACTCTCTCTCTATATATATATATACATATCATAATAACTAGGACTAAAGGTAATATATTATTGATAATACAGATCTAATTTACTATTTATATCAGTTAATAATAAGTATTATCTATCTTTATTAGGTTACTATAGTATTAAATAAAATGTAGCTAAAAGCTTAATTGTGCATGTAATGTATATTAAAAAACTTTACATCAAGATACGTATACGTTAAAGCTTAAATAGAATAAACTAAAAAAAATTATCTAAAAAAAATAATTATGTATGGAACTGAAAAATAAATACAAATAATAAAAAAAAATTTACAATAAATTTTTTTTTGTGAAAAAAATATTACTTTTACCTTTTATAGTATTTTTTTAGATCATACCCGAATTTTTTTTTTTTATGTGTGCATATATAGTATTATAAATTTTTGTTGTCGTAGAATAGTTTAAATAAACATTTGTTAAAATTTTTATCAAACTATATAATTTAATAATTATATAATAATCAGAGTTTTATGAATAAATAAAATTTTGAGTTAATATATTTTATTTAAAGGATTATAAATTTTATATAAATAGGTTATTCATTTAATGGTATTGTCAAATAAATAGTGTTATTAATCCTATTTTAAATTATAGTAAGAGTGAATATAGCGTAGATTCAACTCTGTGTATATAGAAGTTGAGAGAAAATACATATATGAAAATTAAAAAACTTTATTACATCACTCCAGAAATAGCATCCATAAAAAAAAATGAGATAAACAAATATACGTGATCTATTAATTCTTTTATTTTTTTTTGGACAGTATGCATTATATGATTCTAAACAAAATATTTTGGTTTTTATTTTTTATAATGTAGGATTCTTCATATAATAAAGTATTGAAAACTATGTAGGATGTTAACATTAATTAGTAAATATTAGCTTAATATTAAAATAAATAATAAAGAACAAATAAAATTAAAAATTATCATAATTTATATTGATGTTACAATCATCACTTCAATAAAGTTTAGATTTATCTGCATGACCTTTATTAATTTAACAATTCATTGTATAAATTTTTGAAGATTCAACTAATAAATCAACTAGGTATAACAATAAAATTTAAAAAACAACAAAAGTAGAGCATACACTTGATTAAAATTAAATAAAAAATGAAAAGTACATATAAAATAGATTATTAAATGTGTCTAATGATATAGTATTTTTAAACAAATCTTGACTATTTAAATGAAAGGTAAATTTAAATAATTCTAAATTAAAAATACTGGAAGGATAAAAATACTTAAAAAAGTACCCTTTGAATAATATCTTATACGGTTTAATAAATTAGATAATAGAGTTAAGATTAGATAACTAACAAAAATTGAAATTTGCATGATTCTAAAATCCTTATCGAAATTTTACTTAATATATATGGCTGAATTATGTAATAGTAGTAATACAACGATCATATTATAATTAAAATTTAATCTAATTTGTAGTTTGTTGGCTAATAAAAAGAATTATTAACCTTTTCGAGAATGAAAATAACTATCTATATGGAATATATATAGTTATCCACACAAGCGCTAGATAAAAAAAAAAATTATTAATTATTTTTTGTTTTTCTTTTTATAACATTGGTTAATAAAAGGCTTTATTAACCTTTTTGGTAATAAAAAGGACTAGCTATATGAAGAATACGTAGTTGTGCACACGCGGAAAAAAAAAAAAAAAAAAATACATTTTTTTTTTTTTTAAAAGTATTAAAAATCGAGAGTAAATTTGAGTACCAATAAAAATGAGATCTTAAACAGAAAAAAATATTTACATAAAAGAGTTTAATTGTCATAATATTTATATTTTTAATTTGTGAGTGAAAATTTTATACATATGACAATAAAATTTTCACGTAATTAATATTCATATAATTAATTTGCATTTTTATTAATTGTTTATGTTTGTTAATTCAACAGCAATATATTTAAATTGCTGAACATAACTAATAACAAAGAAATAAATAAATTACAATTAATTAATAATCAAAGTTCAATAAGGATTTCAATTTTTAATAAAAATCCTTATTTTTATTAAATTTAATATATGCCTATTGAAATCAAAGAATGCTGAACGAAGTATATCACATAATTAAGAATTGCTCGTTCAAAGCATATAAAAGTATATATAAATACATCAAAATCGTAGAGGCAACTCTACATGCTCTTTATAAATTTGTTTGTTCAGTACTCTAGCAAAGTCACCGAACACCCATTTAATAAAACACATGCACAAAAAAAAAATATATTTTATTTATTTAAATATCATTTAAAAGAGGTCGATAATACCATTTATAGACCAATGCGTGAGTAAAACGGGTATATTAAAGCGCATACACTAGAGAGTACAATTTTAGAATAGTTTGTAAACTAAAAATACAAACAGCATTGCATGTTTAGGTATATGAATGGTAATTTTTTTTTACCTTTTTTATTCTTAAAAAAAAATATATTTTTTTATACTTTTTTTCCAAGACTATAGAAAATTATTTTATTTATGTAATATATATAGTATGGCGTGTAACAAAACACCATAATGTTATATATAATATTAATTATGTATAGTATAAATTAACTCAAGTTTAAAATAAATGATAAAGTTGATATTAAGTAATTAATTCTAAAAGTTATACAAATATAATAAAAAATTATTTTTAAAATTAAAAATAAATTTTTTTTTAAATTAATTATAATAAAATTATGAGTAATTAATTATTATTTATAATAATTAATATTGTAATAATTGAAATAAGTGGTAATTTCCCTATATAATCTTTATTAATTTTATTATTGAAAGTGCTATAAATATTTTTGAATGATGAATTATTCAGTTATGTACATATATTAAAAAAAAGGTAATATTACATATTAATATTTAATAGTTACACTTTTAAACATTTTGTACTATATTCAAAGTCAAATTAATGAAGAACGAATAAAGAGATCTCTACTGATTTTATATATTATAAAATTACTAACTATAGATAACATATAACCTTTATTTAATTTTGATATTTAATATAAAACAAACAATATATTTCATAAAATATTTACAATTCTTTAAATATATCACATTGATCTGTATTTTATTTATCCATAACCCCCTAATTAACTTGTATGAATTAATGGTTTAGCAAAAATTTAATTTATTTTCATTAAAACAATTTTTTAATGAAAAAAATTATCATACTATAAATATAAACAGAAAAAAATAAAATAAAATAAAATAAAATAACTTTGTATTACATCTCAAAAAATAATTAACACAAAAATAGGTCAAAAAAAATAATATTTTTTTATCACAAACAAATTGTAAAGAGAAAAAATCTATAAAACTATTTATCTTCTTTATTGTTTTTTATAATCACTTTTCATTGTAAGTATATATATTATTTTTTTTTTTAAAGCATTTTTTTCCTCAGGTGCCTTGCTTACTTAATTGAACTTTCAAATCTGTTATATATTATCCTATTAAGTATTTTAAAAAATTGATAACATTCATTTTGATCATTTTTTTACATACTCTATTGATCTAAGTCAGGAAAATACGCCTAAAATATATTCTGTCTTTACAAATAAAAGTAAGAAATAATCTTAGCTAAATACAGATTAATTTTTTGGAATACAATCCGTATTATATCTTGATTCATAGAAAAGGTCTTTTTTGAAACAATTCCAGATC